GCTACAGAGACCCTGCGGCCAGACTGGCCTCTTCCCTGGCAAGAGCTCTGGGTACTTCCACGGGAATCCATCCCGCAGGGACACGGTTTCCTCTTCCCATTTCACAGAAGAGGACACTGAGGCCCCGAGAGGAAAGCAGAGTGGTGAGCCGAGGGCCATAAAAGGGGTGAGGGGAAGCCAGGGCAGGTCCCTTCCTCCTCAGCCAGAGCTCTACTCCCCCCCAAAACTGCCTTTCCTCAGGTGTCCCTCTCCCACCCCCCAGCCCAGAATCTGCTGGCCCAAGCCCGGGGTCAGCAAGGGGCAGGGCTGTGAGGTGGAATTCAGGGGCTGAGCTCCACCACTCCCAGCTGGGAAAGCGCCCTCTGACGCGCAAGGCTCAGTTCCACTGGTTTTGGAGGACCTGGGAATGGGGGTGAGGGGAGGCTGGGCGTGTAAGGGTGATGGGCTCCCAGCACTCCGCAGGTTTCTGTGTCCCGCCTGGCTGTCCCAGAGCAGGTGTCATTCTCTAACTCTTACCAAGCACCCATGCAAGTCCTCCCGAGGGCCTTACCTCTCTTCCACCCTCACCACTGCCCACAGAGACACTCCTTCCCAGGAGTGGTAGATAATTTCATCTCTTCCCTACAGGTGAGGAAACTGGTAGACTCTGGCCTTTATACGGACACCCACTCACTGTGTCTACTCTAGGGCTGCTTCACAAACCCCACGGCTCCAGTGACTCTTCCTTCTCCCCTGCTCTAAAGCTTCCCTTAGGGTCCATCTTTCCCAAGCTCCCAGAGTCACAGAATGGGCTGGAAAGACAGGTCCGGCTCCAGCACGGGGTTATGGATGGTGGGACTAGGAGGGCCCTGGTACAGGGTGAGGTGGGGGGACAGTCTCAAGGGCTATGTTGGCTCTCCTCTCTTCCCTCTCCGGGTGTGCCCAGGCCCTCCCAGACCCAAGGCCAAGTCTGCTCTGACCAGGCAACCTGGTGGCCGCCAGCTTGAGGCAAAGATCATGGTGAGGATCAAACATTAACTTCAAGTTGGCCTGAGAGCCCAGGGCCCCGCAGGTAGGGCCGTCAGTCTGGATTCTCCTCTGGGTCTGGCTCCCCCGCTGAAACCCCCCAGCCCAGGCCTACAGCCGGTCCCCCTTCCCCCACTCCCACCCCGCCCCGCGGGCCCCGAGGGCGCTGTGGCTGCCCGGCACCTGTTCGGCCTCCGCCCGCCGGGGGCCCCACCCTGCGGCCAAGTTAAGGGAAAGTTGCAAGTAGAATGGCTCCTGGCGCCCGCAAGCTGTGAGGTTGTGGGATCCGCGGTCCCTTGCTGCTCCACCCCAGATCCACTACCGGGGTGAGGGACAGAGGCGGCTCAGCACCCCACGTCAGCTCAAGTTCCTTTGCCCCTTCTCGGGCCACCCAGGATTTTGTAATCCACCCCCCTCCCCGCCGTTCCCCCTTCTCCGCCGCCCCGCTGTCGCCGCCACTCCCCGGACTTTGCACACGCCTTGAGTCTCCGGACTCCGAAAGTCCTTTTCCAGGTCCCGGTCTCTTCGCTCGCTTTCCCGGGCCCTGCACAAGCCACCCAGGGCCCCTGAATCCCACTTGTCCAGAGGGGCGTGCGCAACCAGCCTCGTCCGTGGGGCCCGCACGATCCTGCCCCGCGCCCTGGGCCAGGCACACGCCCACCCCGGGGTTCTCAGCTGTCCCCAAGGGGCGCTGCGTCCTGCGCCAGCCGCGCCTCTCTCGGGCCCCGGCGTCCCGCACGCGCCTCCCGGGCGCCCAGCCAGCACGCGCCCCCGGGACTCATGGCTCGCACGCGCCGCGCCTCCTGGGGGCGGGGGCTGTGGCCCAAACTCTGCAGCCTCACCGTGTTCTTCCTGGCCACCATCTTCTCCAGCTTTCTGGCGATCCTCAGCAGCTCCTCTTCCTGGCCCATGCTGGCGCGCGACGCCCGGCGGGGCGAGGGGCGCCGGGGCTGCAGGAGGCGCGAAGGCGGAGGGCGCGCGAGCGTGCGGGCCCCAAACCCACACGACACACACGCCTGCGGGGGCGGGGCTCTCCCCCCACACCCCCCTCGGCCCGCCCGCCTCGCAACCGCAGGGGGGGAGGGGTGACGTGCACTAAATATAGACTTCAAGGACTCGCCCGGGCAAAGTTTGCCCGCGCCGGCGGGCCTGGCCTCCCGAGAGGGACGAGGCTTCCAGAGAGGGCCCTTCACCGCGGCCCTTCTGTCGAAGGGAGATTTGGCAAGTGGGGAGGCCGTGGTCCCCGCCACAAGAGGCTGTCTCGGTGAGCGGGGCGCCCGAGGGTGCCCCAGCGCTCTGGGAGGAGTCCTGGCTCCCCCGTCTCTGCGCCGTCGCAGCTCCAAGCGGGCGGACCCAGCTCGGTGCCCGCGCCCGCACCTTGGAGCGCTCGGATCCTATTTCGTACGCGATCGTCAAACCCAGCTCTGCTCTACCGGGGCTCGCTCGTTCGTGCACACGGCCTGTGTACACGCGTGTATCCAGGCCCTCTGGTTCCATCTATTTTGTTTGCTGCAGTGAGGTTTTGTGTTTCTAACAAGCTCCCCCGAGTGCCCCAGGCGCGGCTGCCCCTAGGACGGCTCTCGGAGTAGTGAGGGTTTGGGAGATCCTTAGGTGCACCAAACTTTGAGAAATACTGAAATACTCAAAGAAAAACTTTGAGAAATCCAGGCGCATGGGTGCCCCTAATTTATTCAGGGTCAGGCCACTGCCTCCCCAGGGGGGTTGGGTCTGGAGGGGTCATCTTGGGTGAAGGAAGTTCACAGAATTGTGCCCCCAGTTATGCACACATCTGTGTTCCCGTGGAAGGACCTTCCGAGTGTCCCCAGCAGACCAGGGAAGAGTCCTAAACAGTGAGCTTAATTAACACAAAATTATCCTTTTGCTGGAAGAGGTGCTTAGGGACCTGGAGGGGAAGCAATGAAAAGGGGTCAATGCTGTGTACAGAGTGGGGCACGGTGGCTCGGGGTGTTCAGTGACATCTCTAGACTTTTTTGAGAGAACTTTAGAGAACCCCATCCCAGCCTGAGTCACGACTCTGGCTTCTAACTGCTGCTGAGTGACCTGGGACCATGGTAGGAAGGGGTGGGTTTATCTTTCATTCAACAAATGCATTTTGAGTGTCCAAGGCTAGTCCCAGCAAGCTTGAGATGCAGTCTATGGGCAAGAGAAAACCTAAGCAAATTTGGATGCAATCAATTCTGTATTATCACAACTGGGGTGAGGGTCAGGAAGAAGTGAGGATACTTTAAGGACACATTTGAGGGGACCTGCACTGGTGGTCATCTGTTCTGAAGAAAAGAAGTTTAAACTTTGGGGCAGAAGTGCAGGGTGGGAGTTGGAGGCAGGAAGAAATGAAAAAACATTCATTCATTCAACATATATTTATGGAGCACCTCCTATGGGCCAGGCAGTTCTAGCCCTGGGCCTCTGGAGAGGAACAAAACAGTCCTCCTGGAGTTCTGAATGTGCAAAGCTTAGGGGTGGGAGTGTGCTTGGTGTGTCCGGGCCGGAAGAACTGAAATATTGGTGGGGCTGTAGCATAGAGGTTGATTTGGGGGCAGACAGGATAGAAAGCCAGAGATGAATGTGGTCTGACCGCACCAGCATTATGGGCCACTTCTAGGAGGTCAGACTTTATCAGTTTGAGATGTGGTGAGGTCTCTTGGCCAACTCCCAAGCAACCTCTGGGTTGAAGGGACAGCTGTCTGCAGCTATTTAGGATTGCCTTTTTTTTTTTTTTTAAGATTTTATTTTCAATATAATCTCCACACCCAATGTGGGGCTCGAACTTACAACCTCGAGATCAAGAGTCACATACTCCACCGACTGAGCCAGCCAGGCATCCCAGGATTGCCTTTAGAAAAAAAAACAAAGACAAAAAACAAAACAAAACAAAGAACAGAGTTGATTTTCCTCCAAGTTCCACACAGCTCCCACCCTGAGTTGTATGACATCAACAGAAGCCAAGACGCCTACATCACTGGGGCTCAAAGGACCCTAAGAAAACATCAAGTCCAACCCCTTCATTGCACAGATGGGGAGACTGAGGCTCAGAGAAGTCCAGGGTTGCACTGCTCAACCGTATCAAACACTGTTGGTACCCACGTTATTCCCTCTGTCTACCCGTCCTCACTTGGAGATCACAGCAGGCTGTTCCTGGACGCACCTCCAACACCTTCCCACATCTCGGAATGAGGGCTTCAGAGCAGGCTGAGGTGCTTGGGAATTGACACCCCCAGGAAGGATCCCTCAGCCAGTGAAAAACCAGAGTTGGTGGTAAACACGCCAATTTTTTCACTTTCAGTGGGACAACTCAGAGACATGTTTTTTCTTTTTTAAGCAACTTCTGTGCCCAACGTGGGGCTTGACCTCACGACCCTGAGATCAAGAGTCGCATGCTCTACCAACTGAGCCAGCCAGGTGCCCCAAAGACATGGTCTAATCAATAGTCCCTCAAAGGTCCCTAAGATAAACCCTAGTTCATGGTAGTAGCCCCTTACTAACACACCCCCTATTGCTTTTTGACCCACTGCTCCACTCCCTACCTTCTCATTATGTTTCCTGGGATCACCTTGCAAATAATAAACTACTTGCCCTCAAATCTTTGTCTCAGGGCACCTCAAATTGAGACAAGGCCTGTGGCCAACTTAAACTGCTGGGCTCCCAGCCCCCCTGCCAGCACGTTTCCTCCGCACTGGTGTTTCTGAATCTGGGCACCTTTAACATTCTGGATGGGATGATGCACTGTTGTGGGGGCTGAGCTGTGGACTGGAGGATGGTTACCAGTATCCCTGACCTTTAGCCACTAGATGCCAGTAGCACTTTCCAGTTGGGAACAGTCAAAAAGTCTCTGCATTGCGAAACATCCCCTGGGGCTAAACCAGCACGGGCTGCAAACCCGTTCGTACTGCCCTCTTCCTTAGTAGGTCCAGAGAAAGAATTCCAGGCCCCAGGATTCCCATCCCTTCCCTATCCCACAAATGAAACCACTGCAATTTAATCAAAAAAATCTTTTATTAGAGATGAGTGAGATAACAAGTCTGAGATGAACAAAACCAGACGCTAGAGGCCCAGAAGACAACCCCGTTCCTGTGGGATCCCAGACCAGTCAGGTCTCCAGGGTAAACAGCCCAGCCTCCTGGGCCAGACTGCTTCGTTGGCCATTGGCATCCTCTGGCCTCTCCTGTTTGGCCTGGCCCATCCCTGCCAGGGCCCAGTGCCTGGTGCCCATAAAACCGTGTTAGAAACTGATGATGGCTTAGCTGTACCTCTTTTCTAATATGGGGCTGAAAGTCACGGTGGCACTTCTGGGACTGGGAAGCAGAACCTTTAGTCCCTGCCTTCTGGTTCCTATTATTCTCCTTCCTCCTTTCTTAGTTCTTTTTTCCCCCAAGACTGGAAGGCTCCTGACTGTTCCGTTCCTTCCTGCTACATCCAGGAGAGTAGGCAAGTGGGGGTTACTCCTAGTCTACTTCCTGGCTGGGGAATAGAGCAGAGGTCCCCGGGAGGGTTGTGCTGTCCCTCGAAAGGAGTGCTAGTGAGTATTTACTTAACAGCTGGTACAGCGTGAGCACTGGCCAACCAGGATGGACGCAGACAATGCAGTGTCCCATTGGTGTAAGCCAGCTGATTGCCTGTCTGCCCCTGGGCCCAGGACCATCCCCTGGAGTCTAGCCCTGCCCATTCTCAAGCCCAGCCTTTGGGACCAGCGTCCCCACAGGGGGCCACATCTGCAAGACCCTTGTCTTACTCATGTGGCATCTGGACATAGAGAGAAACTCAGTAAAGTACTAGACCAATGAATGTCCAAGAAGACAGCCCCTTGGCTGGCAGAATCCCTGGTCTGGACGATGAAGGTGGACTGCTCCTACTCTTATGGAGCCCCCAGACTGGTGGTAGAAACATATTCTGGTCTGATGAGAGACTGGGGGTTCTGCAGCTAAAGCTAACTTACGAGTATCAGACCCAGCCATAGGGCTCCCTGGGCGATGACGGGATAGAGGGGAAGGAACCGCCATCAGCCCTAACATGGAAGGGCCCCGTATCCTTGGAGGGGGCAAAGGCCCATGGCAGGGAGGAAGGCCAGCCACAGAGGTACAAGAGACAGACAGAGCAAGACCCAAGGGAATGGACACCTCAGTTCCCCAGTCTTGTGGGCTCAAGTCCTAGCTCTGAACATTGGGGTCCAACATGGGGCTAGTTCAGGCATGCAAGGGCCAGCAAGGAGCTAGTCTTGCAAAAGCTGCACAGAGTTTCCAGGAGAACCCCTGTCCTGGAGTCCTCTCCTTCAGTGAAGCCAACCTGGGGAGAGAAGAACGAAAACTGACATGTTCTAAGTACCTGTATTATGTACCAGCTATTTGTCTCCCTCCGTTCCACCGTCTTATCGTGGATAGATGAAATTATCCCCATTTAACAGACAATGAAACCGAGGCTTGAAGAAGCAAAGCCACTTTTCATGGTCCTCCACGCCCTACAGCCGGAGTTCTTATCACACACGTCTCAACAACAGGTATCCACTAAATGCTGGCTGACGGATACCTGGTTGTGGACACAGATTGGGGTCTGGTGCCTGACTCCGATGGACTGAGGATGACGATTCCTCAGAGAGCGCCAGCTCCTGCCCCTGCTGTCTCCCACTCCCAGCACAGACAACCACCGCCACCCCTGAGGGATCCCCAGGGGAACAAGGAACAGTGGATTCACGCTCAGCCCAACTCGCTCTGTCCTGTGCCCACTCCCAGGTTCCCCAACTAACTAAGGGTAACTGTGAGGGACTTCGTGATTCAGCAGGGAGAAGCCGGATTCAGGGTGACAGCTCTTGTCTTGTCCCTATCACATGCCCTTCTGCCTGGCAGCTGGCAGTCCGAGTGGATTCCAGGAGACTCCTACACAAGGAGACACTTAGGCAAACCAAGGGCTGCTATGCGGCCGCCCTAATCCTGCCTCATCTGCAGGGAAGTGAGCCACCAGCCTGGCTGACACAAGTCTGCTCATCTTCCCCTGGAGAGAAGCCACAGCTTGGGCCTCCTCACCTCGGCCATCCCTCAAGACCTGGGTTCTCCTCAGCTTCATGAGTCCTGGGCTGGAGTGGGAAGGGGGCGCACCAGGCCAGGGACTGGCCAAACTGTGGCCAGCCGGCCTCCTATGTCCTCCGGTCATGGGCAGAGGTCCCCATGACCCCACGCCACCCACCTACTGTTGACCAACTCTGCCTCCCAGGTGTCCTGCCACCACCCCTCAAACCACAGTCCCAGAGCTCATACCGGCATGTTCCTTGTGGGCAGAGGCTGCCTGGCTGAGAGACAGTCTTCCAGGCTCCAGCCCACCCCGCCGATAGGAGCGAGTGCTCTCGGAGCTGGAAGGCAGGGAAAGGCCAAGGTGACCTCATGCCAAGATCCTCTTAGAGTGGGGGAGAAAGAGCTCAGGTATAGGCTGGGGCCTAAGACAGGTGGGTAGAGAGTCCTCCAGGGCCCCTGGCTGGGTCCATCACAGGCTGCAGAGGCCTGGAACTGGAGCTTTCCTGTGTCTCCTCCCCAAACTTCAAACTGAAAGGGTTGTTTGCCGGGAAGGAAGGACTGGATCGTGGGTTGGAGATGGGACACAACAGAGATCCCACTAGAACCCCTAGAAAAAGCCACGCGGGCGGGACTCAGCCTTCTCTACTCCATCTGCAGCAGTCTAGGTCCCGAGCTCCTTCCCAGCTCTCCAGGCCAGACTCGGGGGCAGGTGTGTGAAGGGCGAAGGGTCCACTCCCCCTCCACTCAAGGGCTAGCATATCTCGTTAGTCATGGGCCTCAGAGCTGGGAGGTGTCCCAGTCTTTCGGCAGGCACCATTTCCAGGTGGGGAAGTAAATGGGAAACTTGCTCAGCTGCACAGCTGGGCTCTTACCTGAACCTGACCGGGGGATACATCTCGGCAGGGGTGGCTCCAGATGTCAGGCTGGATCGGGAGGGGCCCTCCTCAGAGCTGGATGGGGTTTGGCTGGGACTCACAGCTTCCACAGGGCTTGTGAGGCTAGAAGGCGTAGAGGCTGGACTGCCCAGGCTCTCAGGGGCCCCGGAGGGCTCTGAGCTCAGGCTGGGGACTTCAGAACGATCTGGAATCAGAAGTGATAAAACCTGTCTTTATCTCTTACTTTGTTCTCAATGTCAAAGCTGTCCTTGGCCTCTAGGGCCTATCACGGCTGCCCCCACTCCCCACGCCACCCACCTGTCCGGTGTTCCCCTCCAGCTTCTCCCCACCATGCTTGGGTCTCACTGGCTAGGATAGCTAGCCCAGGCTGACGCATCGTTTTGCTTCTGCTCCCCTTGCTCCTCAGTGTGGACTCCTCTGCTCATCCCTCGGGCTCAGCTAAGATGCTACCCCGACAGGACGCCTTCCTCAACCACCCCTCGGTCCCAACAGGACATGCTCCCCCTTAAGCTCCTAGAACGAGCTTCTTCATTCATTCAACAAACAATTCTTGAGACCAGCCAGGTACCGAAATACTATTCAACAGAACACTCGAATTCCTGTCCTTCTGAGATTTACATTCTTTCTTAGGGGGGCGGGGTGGGAATTTACATTCTATACCATTGTGTCTAATATCGTAATGAATTGCATTCCGGCTTTTATCTCCCCCACTAGGCCGTGTCTCGGTAACCCCCCCAAATACTGGAGACACAGTGGATGGTCAATAAATGCTTCTCTTTTTATTTAAGTAAAGCATCGAGGAATTTGGAATAAGACAGACCTGGGTTTGGATCCCACATCGGGGACTTAATTAGCTGTCGGATCTCCGACACATTACTTAACATCTCTGTTCCTTTACCTGTAAGGGGAAGATGATAACCTCTACCTGGCAAGCGACTGCGAGGGCGGGAGGGCGGGAGGGTGGCGTGGACTAACCCAGGCAGCCTTAGCTCAGTGCGCCGGCACAGAGTAGACCCTCCATGAATGGTACGATGAGCATTTTTCTGCGCAGCCCACCATACCTCCACTGGCATGTCCTGTACGCCCTTGGACCGCCGTCCGGGAAGGGTTTTTGACCGGCAAGGGTGGGGGGCAGGCGTCACTCTGGCTCTGAGGGGCAGCTGATCCCAGGCTGGTGATGGTCTCATAGGTTTTGTTGCTGAGGTCGACCCTCCCGCTGGCCCAGCGGGCCTGGGCTGCGGGCTTCAGCGGGGAGCGCTGCAGGGGCAAAAGTATGGGAGGAAGGACAGTCGGGTTCCTCCAGTCAGCCCCGCCCCTCCCCCCACCAGGCCCAATTGGGCTCTTTCCATCTGCAGTCTAACAAAGGCCCAAGAGAGGGGGCGGGACCCACCTTCTCTTCCTCGTCCTCCTCACTGTCTGAGCCAGGCTCAGTGGCGATTCCCCAGTTGTAGTCCACGTGCAGAGGGAAGGCGAGGGTCCCAGCCTGGGCCTGCTCCAGCTGCCAATAACAAAGCCCTGGCAGTTCAGAGGGTCAGGGGCTCAGCAGAGAGAGGGAAAGGGTCAGGGGCTTCCCCTCCTTTCCTAGACCTCACCAGCTCCTCACACTCCTTGTGCTGCTTCTTCCTGGCTATGTCCAGAGCTGTCTCTCCTGCCTCGTTCACTGTGAGGGGTAAAGTCAAGGGTCATGGTCAAGGTCAAAAGGCATTATAGCTTAGAGGTTACAGTGGGCCTCTGGAATCAGATTGTGTTTGAGTCTTGGCTCTGCTACTTCCCGGCTGTGTGATCTCGGGCAAGTTACTTAGCCTCTCTGGGCCTTGATTTTCTTATCTACAAAATGAGTATAATACTTGTAACTTCCTGATGAGGTTGTGAGGACTAAAGGAGTTCCTATGCCGGTAAATAGTGAACTATCATAATCACTATCATTTGAGTTCAGCTAGGATTTATTTGGTTAGGTACTTTCAGAAACATCCTTTTATCTTCTTTGCAGGTCTGCTAGGTCAGTGGTGTTATACCCATTTTACACACGAGGAAGCTGAGGTTCAAGAGATGAATGGACAAATCCCAAGGTCACAGACGTGCTCAGAGGCAAGCCAGGATTAGAACCCAAGTGTGCCTGCAAAGTCCGTGCTTGTTACCAGCGCTCTCGGTCTGGGAAGAAGGCAGGAAGCTCCACAAGAGGGGTAGTAAGGAATGGAAGTCTGCTGGGGGAGGAGTTGGGAGCCCCACCTGCGCCAACCGAAGCTCTCCCTTTCAGCAGCAGCTTGAGGCAGTCAGGTTGGTTGTAGAGAGCAGCACAATGTGGAGCGCTCTTCCCGTCAGCAGCCTTGGCATCCAAGTGACCTCTGGGGGTAGGAGGTCAGGGAGGAAGAAAGGGGAACAGGGGGAGGGGCCAAAGTCAGGGAGAACAAGAGGGAGGGGGGAAGGCTTGTGGAGAAGAGAAAGGAACGGGGCGGGGGTGGAGGAGGATGAGGAGGTGGGCAGACGGGCAGGCAGGGTCTCACCCATTCTGGATGATGAAGTCCACCAGGGGCAAGGAGGCGGGACTGGCGACTCTGATAGCCAGGTGCAGGGCGAGCTCTCCAGACGCCTGGGTACACATCCACACCTTTGAGTTTCCCCCGGTTCGCCTGCCCCCAACCCAATGTCACCGTCTTGAGCTCTTGCTGCCCCGACACCTCCAGATATAAAGCTGCCAGAACCCTGAGAGAGGAGACTGCAGGGAGGGAGCCTCGTGTTTGGGAGGAGGGCAAGAGACCATTCCTTCACTCTTCCTTCTGTGGCTCTGCCCCCAGTAACATGTGCTTCCCAAACTTGGTTCTTAGCCCCCGGCTTTCTCTCTCTGCTCCTCTCTCTCACCGGCCCCCCGAGAGCCCAGCTAACCTCAGACTTTCAGCTCTCACTCATGCGAAGGCTGTTCCAAATTCTTACCTCACCTAAGGGCTGCACCCTCACTGCCCACTGGACAGCCCCACCAAGATATCAGACAGTTCAAAGACATGACATCCATTTTTCATGTCCGGTCAGCAACTCCTGTCAGTTTAACCTTTCAAACATCTCTGAAACCCTTCCCCTCCCAACCCCCTGGCTCATGTGATGTTTGCTACTAGAATCACCAACGCAATAGCCTTCCCCGATCTAATCTGACTCACCCTTACCCAGGTCCAAAGCTAGCCAAGGAAAAAAAAAGATACTAACATTTCTGGCACACATGTTACATGCTTGGCCCTTTATATACATGACTTCATTCTCACTTCAACCCTCAGGTGCTATCATCCACTCATTTCACAGATGAGAAACGGAGACTCAGAGAAGTTAAGTCACCTGCTCTAGATCACACAGTTAGGAAAAGACAGAGCCAGGACTCTGGCCCAGGGCTGCCTGACGGAATGCTCCATCCCATTTACCCCTCGGGGTTTGAGCAGATGTCAGAGCGGGGACAGAGGGGAGTGACAGCTGGTCCTGGAGAAGGACTGGGGAGTATGAGAGAGCGGGTGGGGTAAAAGTGGCCCTTGGAGGTGGTCCTCACCTGCCCCTCAGGCCCAGGCAGCAGCTGTCCAAAGTCCTGCCCGTTAGCGAAGGCCTCCAGGACTGACAGGAGGTCCCGGTTGCAAATGGCCGTCCGGAGTTTCTGAGGCTCGGGTGTGGACCGACGGGCAAACCTGTGTTCCACATACTTGGCCACGATGTAGTCCCTGCGTGTGCTCCTGCCGAGGTCAACCAGTCTCAGAGCATGGGCCATTTCCATCCCGCTGACCCCTGGAACCATCCCACAGGAGCTACGGATCTCCCTTCCCCCAAACCATATCTTGGACTCTTCCAGATCTGCGGCTCCCTTCTCCCTAGACTTCTGGTCCAAGATCCTCCTGAGACTATGGGAGCTGGGGAAGCAGAATCCCCAGCCAGAACGCACCTCCCGACTCCCATCTGAGAATCCCCTTACATGTCACTCTCAGCTGAGGGTTTAGGGCCGCCATGTGAGGGCAGCTGGGCCTCCATGACCTCATTGAAGCGTGTGTTTCCGATGTTCAAGGCCAGCTGGGGTCGCAGGGAAGCGATGGGGGTAAGACCGGTGCTTAGGACAGCGCCCCCTGGAGGACCAAGCCTCCAGAGGCCCGACCCCGACCCTCCCCTTTCCGGATCTTCAGGATCCTGCCCCATCTCGCCCCACCCCACCGGATCCCACAACCCTTGGGCCGAGCCAGCCGGCGCAAGCCCCGCCCCTGACGAAACCACGCCCCAACCCCACCTCTGGCCCCGCCCCGCCCTCACCAACAGCTCGGAGGGGCCCAGCAGGTCCAAGGTGAGGGACTGCATGCGCGAGAAGCGCACGCCCAGCTCGCGGTGGACGCCGGAGCACTGGATGCAGGTGAGCACGCCCAGGTTGGTGCTGAGCCACGTGGGGTCTACAAGGGAGAGTGGCTCGTGCCTGGAAGTGCGGGCCCATCCCCTCCACTGCCACCTCTCCCCTCCCCTCCCCGCCCCGCCAGCCCACCTGCAGCCCCGCAGTCGCAGCACTGGCCGTTCCCGGGCCTGCTCTTCACCTCGGCGATGAGCAGCTTTGTGAGGTCCTGGGGCTCCGCGTCCAGCCCGGCGCCCCCCCAGGGTCCTGGGCCGCCGCTGCCGCCGGGCTCCGCGAGGAAGGCACTGCTCAAGGCCTCATCCTTGCTGTTCTGTAGCACTGACACCCACCTATGGAGAGGGTGCAGGGTGGCATGGGAGTGATACCCGCAGGGGTGGGGTCCCCCGAGGCTGGGAGGTAGATAGGGCTCCCCTGACCCCACCCCCAGGCTGGCCGTAGGGGCGTCACTCACGCCTCACACTCATGTTCATCCTCTGCCTGGAAGTGGTATGTCCTGTTGTCTGTGGGGAGAAGGGGGGATGTCTGGCTCACAGAAACCCAAGGAGCCCTCACCCAACCCGCGGGGTCCAGGTGGAGCTTCGCCCGGTGGAGCCAGGCTCCGCCCAGCTTGCAGTGGGGATGGTAATGGCCAGCAGGGTAGTGGCTGGTAGTGGGCAGTTTCTCAGAAGTCACCTCCAAAGGAGGATCCCAGCAAGGCCCCTCTGTTCCAGGGTCTGGGGAGGTCTCCCAGAGCACAGGACAACCCCCCCAGGTCAGAGGCAGGGTATCCTCCGAACCTACTGCCACCACCCCACATGGGCCCTCAGCCTCCTGTCTGGTCTCCCTGCTCCCCAACTCCCCCTCCCCCCAACATGTACCAGCTGCCAGATTGTTGTGCCCAAGGTTCTGATCTAGTCACACCACCCTCCCTCCAGGACCCTCTGTGGCTCCCTATTGCCAGGAAATAAGGTCCAAAACTTTAAGAGGCATTCCCAGGCCTCATCTCCCACCACTCTCCTCTGCAAACTCTGTACTCTGGTCAGCCTGGTCAGATCCACTCTCCTGCTCCCATGCCTTTCATCATGCCAGTCCTGTCTCCTGGAACATCCTCCCCAAAACTGTGTTCTCTGTCCTTCAAGGCTACACTCAAATGCTCTCTCCTCCAAGCAGCCTTTCCCGATTCCCCACAGCAGGGCAGGCCTTCCCCTCCCTTATCTTTGACAGTGCTCTATCTGTACCTCTCTTCTGGATACTCCCCATCATCTTACTGGGTCCCCACATCACATCCCTGCCAGAGAGAGCTCCCTGAGGATGAGATCTAGGTCTTTCTCAGCCTGCACCTGCCCCCACGTAAAACCTGGCACCAAAGCCTCCAAAAGATGAAGAGTAAGAGTAAAAATTTTAAAGAAATGATAATTTCAGGGTGCCTGGGTGGCTCAGTTGGTTAAGCGACTGCCTTCAGCTCAGGTCATGATCCTGGAGTCCAGGAATCGAGTCCCACATCAGGCTCCCTGCTCAGCGGGGAGTCAGCTTCTCCCTCTGACCCTCCCCCCCTTGTGCTCTCTCTCTCAAATAAATAATTTTTTTAAAAAAATCTTTAAAAAAAGAAATAATAATTTCGAAAGCTGAATTAACCAAATCCATTCAAATATACTTTACAGAAATAATGATATTTACTGTGGGATGGGGGTGCAATTTAATATTTAATAGGATGTGGACTGAAGCCTCTAAAAAGTGTCCAGGGCCTCAGATGTCTGATGCCTGCAGGGACAGCTGTCCGATAAACACACGGGGGATTGGATACAGGCCCCTAACTGAAGCCTCCCGGGAGCTGACAGGTCTCTTAGAGAAGCCCTGGGCAGTTGTCGGGGAGGAGACAGGGACTACTCACGGGTCACCAGGTCAAAGCACTTTTTCTCCTCAGGGTTTGGCCTCACTTGACACGTTAGCAGGGTCAGCTTCACTGGAGGCCGGTTTATCTGTGGGAATTTGGGGAGAAAGGACACACGTTCCTCTCCGGGTCTCCCAAACTCTCAGGCTTCCATTTTCCCAGTCCGTTAAATGGGCATAATAGTCCTGTTCCGGTTCATGTCTCCCCTCTCCCAGTGCCTCATCGATGTGGAGTGTGGGCCAAGATTAGGTTGGGAGCTTTGAGTCCCAGCCTTCTTCCCACAGGGGGTCTCCAGCAACCTGGATCCAGGTTTGGGGGCCAGGGCTGGAGGGAGGGTTTGACACTTGTTTGTTCAGAAGTGAAGAGAGGACCTATCGATTCCGCCCTGAGACCCCCCCCACCCCACCCCTCCAGGCCTCACCGTGCTGTGGGAGATGGTCAGGCAGCCATACTTGACTCCACACTTCCTTTTCTGCCAGACTCTTCGAATTCTAGAGCCCAGAGGGATAGAGAGACACTGACCCAAGGCTCACACCTAATTCCCCTGTATCAGAAAACAGAGTCCGGGACCAGGTCCCCGGCCCCACCCGTATGACCTCCAGCCACACCTCTTCACCTCTTCCATCCCCTGACCCCTACACCCCTCACTTTCTGGGGCTCCCTTCTGATGGTGGAGACATAGCCCTGCCCTGAGGTCCCTCCCAGTCTGATGGGGGAAACATAGCCCCCACTCTCTGGGAATCCTTATTCTGAAGGGGATCACGTGACCCTGGCCCTCTGAGAGCTTCTCGTCTGATAAAGGAGACACAGCTCCCAACCTTAGGGAACTCCTAGACTGAGAGGAGGATCAGGCTCTTGATCACAACAGATGCATTATGATTAAGGATAAAGCAAGATAAATATTTAGACCCCAAAAATAAAATTAGCAAATCCACGATCCAAAGCTACTTAACACTTCTGTAAGAGGAAAATATTAATTAGTATAACAAAGTTATTCTTCTCTGATAAAAACTGATTAGTAAGTAGAAATGTGAACACATCCCATGGAGCCTTTGCATTTCACACACTGATTTTTTTTACACCAGGGAGCAAGGCACAGTCAACACTTTCATTTCCAGGCATATTCAGTATATTATAGAGGTTAAAGGTAAGGGCATGGGGATGGTCTAGGGCATCATAAGTGCTCAGTAAGTGCTAGCAGCTGCTTTTATTCTTTTTCAAGTTAGAAACAACCAGTGACTTCTAAGCAGAAGTTCACGTGCCTAGGATTCTGATGATTTTGCATTGCTAGGGTGGAGGTCCTGGAACCCTCAGAGTCTACCTAAATGATGAGAACGGTCCCATTGGGCAGCTCCCCCAACTGTCATTTACTGGCCATGTGGCTTTGGGCAAATTACTCAAGCTCTCTGAGTCACTTACCCATCACTCTTCTTGTAGAGAAAGCCCACCTTCTCTGTCCCAAACTGCTTGTTGCCTTGGTGCTGATGGATGCTGTAGCCACCTCCGCCTCCTGAGTTCTTCCGGCTCAGATTCTCCTGTTCCTCCGACATGCAAAGGAGACCTTAGGGCATCTGGGTGGGCAGAGCCTCATTCTGCAGGGGTCTCTCTCAGGGACACTTCTCAAGGGACCCTTGAAGTGGGGTCTTCCTCCTCTCCCTCCCTCCATGATGGGCCTTGGGAGAAGGCGTTCCTTTGGGGATGATTCAGGGGCTGACCTCTCTGCTCTCGAGCTGCAGCGTCCCTCGGAGGGAGTCCCGGAGCCGGGTCAGCTTCTGTAGCTCCTCCTCCTGGGCTTGGCGCAGCTGTGGAACAGAGGGCCGGACCCCACCGTCAGCCAACGGACGGGCCAGGCGCACAGGCCAGAGCAAGACGAGCAGAAGCCCGGAAAGACAGGGGCTTGACCGTGTGCCCAAGGCTGAGGCCCAACTTACCGCGTGTACAGAGGCTGCCAGCTTCTCGATGAAGGGGGACAGGCTCTGAGCAGCCTTCCAGCCATCTTGGAAAAAGCTAAGGGGTGTGAGGCCAAACAAGGGATGAGAAAGATGAGGATGAGAAAGAAGCAGGAAGTGTGGGAGAAGGTGCTCCAAGGATCACAGGGCAGCTGGGGGCAGTATTCTCTGTCAGGCAGGAGCCGGCTCTCTGGAGCCAAAGTTGCCTGGGTCCAGATCCCACTTACTAGCTGGGTGATGTTAGTAAATCTGAGCCTCAGTTTTCTGAGGAGAAAATGGGTTGCTGGGGATTGAGCAGGAGCCAATGTGTAAAGTACTTAGTGCTGATACACGGTGAGCACCCACTAAAAGAGGAGCCGTAGAAAGCACTACCAACAAGGCAGATACAGAGTCCTCGAGGGCCTGCTAGACCCCGGGGACGGGCCTTGTTTGGTGTAGCCTGAAGGGTTAAGGGGCACGGCTCATGGGGTGGGGGCGGGGACAGGGGAGAAACCTACTTGTGCTGTGCGTGGAAGAACTTGATGAGGCTCTGCAGGAAATCAGGACCCTGCTTCATCTGGCTCTCCCCGGCTCTCAGCAGATACTGGGGAAGGAGCAGGGCCAAGCATGCATCGTGAGCAGAAGCTGAATCCTGGGGGCAAGGGGCTGCCGTCCCCATCCCGGGCTAATCTTCTTGGCCATCACTGAACTTCAGTGATATCCCTCTTGGCCAGAATCTGTGACTGGGCCCCCCTGGAGGTTCAGAAGACAAAAGACAGGAAGACACATCCCACCCCATCCTCACCCCGGCAGCACCCTTACCTCACACATGTGCAGCTGGAAGACGCGCCGCTCTCTCTGGGTGTCCTGGGCCACCTCCCCAGGGCTCCCTCCTGTCACCCTGGCCCGGTCTCTCTCCTTCTCCAGCCTGGCCCTAGGCCCCAAGGAAAGAGAGGCCTTAGCAACTCTCGCTAGAGCCCCTTACGCGTCCCACCGCCTCTCCACGCTCCTCTCTGCCACAAGCACACGAGAGAGGGGCCTCCTGTGTGCCCGTTGCGTGGCAGGGCTGGGGTACAACGGTGAACAAGGTGGATTCGGGAATCCCCAGGCTGGTGGGGGACAACGACGTGGATCACATCACAGCCATGAAGAGAGCCATGGAAGGCTAAAAGGGGGATCCGACCTTGTCGGGCTGCTCAGGAAGTACTGTTCGAGGTGAGATCTGAAGTCTGAGAAGCTGCCTGGAGGCAGCTAGGAGCAGCAGACCACGTGACTGCTGGAGGCAGGAGGCATCGGGGCTCAGGAGCGGAGGTGGAGAGGAAGTGGTTTCTGGTGAGGTACAGAGGGGCCAGATCACGCAGGGCCTAATTCAGATCATGCCAGGGTTCCCAAGAGCAATGGGAAGGAGTGGAAGGTTTTTATGCAGGGAAGTGGTGGGCTTAGATTAGGGCCAGGTGGGGTTTGGGGTGACCAGTACAATTTTGCTGGAAGGGATTTAGGACCACATGGCTTAAAGGATCACAAAGTGCCTTCATACTTCTGAGCCACGGAGCTTCCCACTTAAAGCTTAGAAAACCCTTGTTCTTTTCTTTGTAAGTGAGGACAGTGCCCTCCCATGCTTGCAGCTAAGTGTAACCTGGGCCTTGCCCCCACAGAGCTCAAGGGTTGGCTGTTTTCCCTCTTTGGGGGACGGGTGGATCTGTGTGCAAATGATTTCCTGGAAATCCCACGCCCAGGAGACCACCCACTCTCAGCAGGAGAGTGTTTCCACATCTGGGGCTGGGCACATGTAACCACAGCTCCTCTGTCGAGGAGATGTCTTGCTTATCAGTTTTGCTTTCAAGTAGGTGCCAGCCCTGAGCAAAGAAGACAGCTGTGGGATACGTTACAAGCATCACTTCCCCTCTCCAAGCCTCAGTCTCCTCATCTGCCAGATGGGGATCCTTATCTGTACCCAGATGAGATAGAGGATGTAAAATTTAGCACACAGAAGACCCTACAGCTATTATTATCACAGGCCCCCCTAGGCCTTAGTTTTTCCATCTGCAAAATGGGGAAGCAATGGCCTAGGCAGAGTTCATTCTGGCTTGAAAGCTCCAGGCCTCACTGAGGTCAGGCCTCCAGGACAGTGTTTATATGCAGAATCTGTCCCTGGAGACCCATCAAGCAGCTTCTCAACCATGGAACTACAGATACTTTGTCCAGATGATTCTTTGACGTGGGGGCTGTTCTGTGGACGTGGGATGTTTAGCAGCATCCCCAGCCTCAACCCACGAGGTGCCTGTACATCTCCGAGTTGTGACAGCCAGACATGTCTCCTGGGGGTGACGGTGGGGGTGCAAAATCACCCGACTGACAACCACTGCTCTAGAGTGCAGTTCTGTAGGTGTTCTAGAAAAAATTTCTTAGGAGTGGCTCTTTTACATTTCCCTAAGGCTTTATGATATCCCGAGAGGGAGTCTGCAGCAGGGCAGTGGAGTAAGGGTGGGGACTGACCCTATGACCCGGGCCTGGGTCATGACAGATGCTTTTTGGGGTATCTGAAGATGAGCAGCAGAGAGAGGTTATGGCTGGGCCGGTAGGCTGTCAGCAGTGAGCCTGGCAGCTTGCTAAGGAGGGCGGGAGACAGAGCGGGCAGAGGGGCTGGGGGGGGGCGCAGGGGAATCTCCCATAGACCTCGCTACCACATCTTCCAATAGTGAAAAATGAAAAATAAGCTAAATGTCTATCAGCAGGAAGTAGTTAAATAAATTATGCTGCGGCTAGCTTTAGGAATACTATGCAACTGTTACAAAGGATGAGGAAGCTCTGTATGTACTAACATTGAGCGGCATCTGCTCCAGAGTAAACGGACAAAAAGCAAGCACAATACGGTACAGTGGCTAGAAACGCATAGTCTGGATTTGAATGGCAGCTCTCTCACTTAACCTTTATAAATCTTTCTAAGCTTCAGTTCCTCCATTTTAAAAACGAGACAAATACTGTCTTGATCTCAGATGGTATAATGCATGGTGTGGTCCCTGGCATATGGTAAGCCCTCAATAAATAGCAGGATTATGATGATGCTAATGATATCGATGGTCATGGTAATAACCACTGGTGATTCCTTTATTTAGATTCTATTTATTCATTTGAGAGAGAGCAAGCAAACACAAGCAGGGGGGAGCGGCAGAGGGAGAGGGAGAAGCAGGCTCCCCACCGAGCAGGGAGCCCAACTTGGGGCTCGATCCCAGCGCCCTGGGATCGCGACCCAAGCCGAAGGCAGATGCTCAACTGACTGAGCCACCCAAGTGCCCCTGGATAATGCTTTTTTTTTTTTTAGCATAGGGTGCTTCCTTATTTATTTATTTAATTTTGGGGGGGTGTGTGTGTGCAGGCTGTAGTGGAGATTAAAGGACAGAAGCTAGTTAGCTCAGGATGAAGACAAGCTGTAAAGTACTATAGATGACTTCGTGGATTACCATAGCTTTGTCCCTCAGTCTCAGCTAAGGTAACCTACAGAGATTTACCCTACCAAGGCTGACCTAGTCATCTGAGATGACCTGCCACCTCAAACTACTAGCTGGGGAGTGCTTTTTATTCTCTCACACCCTGGCCAGAAAAGAGCAAAACTCCTATTCCCTCAATGTCCTCAAAGGTTCACCAGTGGTTAATAAACATTTCAACTGTTGGAAATATTTTATTTCCTTTGAATGGAGTTGCCGCAAGAAGAGTAAAATGAATAGGGAGTGAAAAGCAGGGAAATGCTAGTTACTGAGGAGACCGAGAGAAACGGAGAAGGGGACTTCGGGGACAGTCTAGTATTCAGACGGGGAGTGAGGGGGTCAGTGAGGAGGATGGTGGGAGAGGAAAGGAATCAAAACTAATCATGCACCTGCCAACCTGACACCTTGAACAGCCTCTCCTGTGATGCCTCCTCCCACCGCCCTCCCCTCCACCCAAACAAAACCACCTGTCTCTCCTGCCACCCGTGTGCTCATACTGTCCCCGTGGCACCATCAGTTTGTATTTTCGTCACTTATCAACCCACCTCTCTTCTCGCTTACAAACCAGTGGGATCCACTAAGGCAGGGATTGTGGTGGTGTTTTTTCCCCTTACTTCTTACCTATAAGTTGGGGATAATAACAGCCCCTTTCCCTGCCAAGGGGAGTCAATCTGATAATAGATCTAAAGAGCTTATCACAGTTCCTCGGACAGAGGAAGCTCTTAAGTAAGTATAAGTATCAGCTGCTATTATTACTAATTATTATTTTTAAGCACTAATATTATGCCGGGTGCTCTGCTAGACCCTTCACATACTACAGTGATAACCCCATGGGGCAGGAATCATTACCCCATTTTACAGTTGAGGAGCCTGAGGCTGAGACAAGTCACAAATCGCTCGGCTCTTAAGTGCTAGAGCTAGGATTTGAATCCAGGTCCGTCTGACGCTAGAGCCTTGGGGACGGCACTGGTAACCAACACAGTGCCTCAGATTTGCTCCATCCCTCCTGCCCTGCCTGGCCCCCCCAGCTCGTGACAGGCACAGTGTCTTTTTTTTTTTCCTTTTTTCAAAATGTATTTATTTAATTTTTAAATTTTAATTCCAGCATAGTTAACATACGGTGTTATATTAGTTTCAGGTGTACAGTATAGTGATTCAACAATTCTATACATTGCTCAGTGCTTGTCACAGTAAGTGGTTTATTTATTTGGGGGGGGGCAGAGGGAGAGGGACCGAGAGTCTCAAGCAGACCCCTGGCTGAGTGCGGAGCCCCACGCAGGGCTCCATCCCACGACCCTGAGATCATGACGGAGCCGAAACCAAGAGCCGGTCGCTTAACCGACTGAGCCACCCAGGTGCCCTGTAAGTGTACTTAATCCCCAGCACCTATTTCACCCATCCCTCCATGGTGTCTTTTCTGAAAGATCACAGTCAGGGATCGTTTTACACAAGATGAAGCCGAGCCCCAGAGAAGGGACGTGACTGTCCCAGATCCCGAGCTGGTCAGGGGGAATGCTAGGAGCTGAGGCCTGAGCTCCTGCCTCTTGGGCCCTTGCTGTGCTATTCTGGTCTCGGTTCTGGCTCAGAAAGATGGCCAATAAAGACTTGGTGAACTGCAGTGCTAGACGCTTTATAGGCACCGTGCTTCTTGCATTTCCACGTCAACCCTGCGAGGTGTCGGCCGGCCCCATGTTTCAGATGAGGAAACAGACCTGCATATGGAACAGCCTGGAAAAACCAGGCCCCTGCAGTCAGATGCTATTCGGGGCCCTTCCAGCTGCTGCCCACACTGGTGTGGGAAGAAGGAGGTGGAAATGCACAGTAGCTCAGGGCTCGCCAATATCTAGCTATACCTGAAGCCCTCACCAAAAGGCACGTTCCACAGACCCCTGTGTCAGGACATGTAGCTCAGCCTGGGTGACGTGCATGGCAGGGGCCAGGAGTCCCTGGAGCACGGACTCGGAGAGAGAGCACCGGACTCAGAAGCCCTGGGTTCTAGTCCAGGCCCTGTTGATAACTCACTGGAGAACCTTCACCGAGCCCCTCTCCCCATCAATTACAGAGTCTCTTCTTGAAACAAAACCTTACAGGCAAGATCACGATGGGACTCTGGTAAAAGCAGAACTGCCTGGAGGAGG